TACCTTTCCAGAGGTTTATGGACGAATTCTTGAGAGGATTAGACGAAGAATTCTGTCAAGTATACATGGACGATCTCTTGGTTTTTAGCAAGGATGAAGAGGAACACGTCGATCATTTGGGGCGCGTATTCGACAGATTAAGGCAATTTGGGTTGAAATTATCGGCGGAAAAGTCGATTTTGGGACAGGACCAGATAACATTTTTGGGACATTCCATTTCGAAGGAGGGGATCAGGCCCGATAAACAGAAGGTCGAGGCAATACAAAATATGGCGATGCCCAGGGATGTAAAAGGGATCCGCAGGTTATTGGGAACACTAAACTATTACCGTCGGTTCGTGCCGGAAATGGCGGAGTATTTAGCACCTCTTAATAACCTTCTGAAGAAAGGCCGGAAGATAACAATAACGCCAGCAATAGAGGACAATGTAAGGAAGTGCTTGGCGAGGTTACAAGATAAGCCGGTACTCGCTTTTCCCGATTTTGCGAAGACGTTTATCATCACTACGGATGCGAGTGAGTATGCGTTGGGGGCAGTACTTGCTCAAGAAGGAACTAATGGGGAACAACCGTAGCATATGCAAGTCGGCGGCTTACAGACGCGGAAACGCGGTATAGCGCCCTGGAGAGGGAACTCTTGGGCATAGTATGGGCAGTAGGACATTTTAGACCGTATATTTTTGGCAGAAAATTTAAGGTTCATACCGATCACAGACCGCTGCAATGGGATGGTAATCTGAAGGAATCGTCAGCAAGGGTCACTCGGTGGAAGCAATTTCTAAGCCAGTACAATATGGAGGTCATGTACAAGCCGGGTAAGGAAAATGTGGTAGCGGGCTGGCTGTCCAGAGCCATAATGATAAATGCCATCGAGGAGGAAGAAGGGGAGTCGTCGCGGGACGTGCTGCAGTTTTTGAGAGCGTGGACACCGGAAGGTGAAGGAGAACCCGGGGATGCGAGAACAGAGGAATCGAGAGGAGAAGAGAGCTCGGTGGACGAAAGGCCTACAGACATGGAGGAATGTGAGGAGGTCATCAATGATAAGCGACGACAGGTCATTTGGAAGACCAGAACGTCGGGGCTTATGAAGATCGACTTCAGTAAATATGGGAAGAAGAAAATTAACACCATTTGGTCCCAACCAGAGATGAAAGAAGAAGATATGTGTAAGGCCTTGCATGACGCTTCGGAGTCGGGAAAAATTCACCATTTGTACGTGGGCAATGCGACCATCTGGGAAAAGATCAAGAAACTCTGGAGAGCAGAGAAAATAGGCGTCGATAGGTCATTCATTAAATGCAAATACTTAGTTGAAACGTTAATTGACGCTAACGTTAATAGCAAAAGGAGGTAACACTAGCACATCACCAGGGCAAGACCAACCATCGGAGAGAACAAGATTTCAGGCACTGCGCAGAAGATATTTCTGGGATGGTATGAGGAAGACAATTTCAGAAATCATTGGGAGATGCGAAGTGTGCGCGCACACTAAGTATGATAGACGCCCACCTCAAGGATTAAAGGAGGAAACCCCTACGGGAGATATGCTATTGAAAGATGTCCAAATCGATACATTCACGTGGAGGGGGTTTAAGTGGATTACAATGATCGACCTCTTCAGTAAGGTAGCGATGACACATCGAGTACAAGATAAGTTGTCGGAGGCTGTTTTGGGGGCTCTACAAACGTGGGCCCAGTTCTACGGAGTGCCGGATCGCATAACATCGGACGGAGGGAGGGAATTCGAACACAGTACCGTACGTGAGGAGGCTAAACGATTAGATATAGTTTGGCACTTTAACAATCCGGGACATCCAAAGGGCAGAGGAAATATCGAAAGATTTTGAACAGCACTTTAAGCGACCTCCTACGTATTTATCAAGGGGAGCAGGGATTGGAAGTGGATGTAGCCATGAAAAGGGCAGTAGCAGCCTATGATCATTCGATCCACTCAGTTTTCCAGGGTTTTCTCCGGTCGAGGTTTTGTTCGGAGTAAATATACGGCGACGGGATTGCATGGAAACACTCACGGACGAAGCACAAGCCCAACAGATCACTTGTAACAGAGCAGAGATAAAGAAAGTGTGGGAAAAACGAGAGGGAAAATAGAGAGAGAAAAACGGAAAAGGGTGGAGAAGGTCAATTTGAACCTCAAAGATAGAATGGGGGAATTGAAGATAGGGACGACAGTCTATCGTAGAGTCGGATCTAACAGGAGGAAGGAACTGGCACGCTAAGAAGGACCATTCAAAGTGATTATACTTCGCGAACACAATCTTTATACAATTAAGAGTCTGAACGATCCCAGGAAATGAAGGACCGTTCACATAGAACAGTTGAAACTCCCGATAGAGGCAGGGTCAGTAACGTAAATAAGTGGTATATCCTCTTTTCTGTCTCCTACAAGCTATGGAAGGACGGTAGAAGGTTTATTTCAGTTTGTGGCTCTTTTATTGCAAGAAATGTTTAATTTTATTTGGTTTGTACTATTGCTGTATAGGAACGCCAAAGAAGATTATTTTGTTTTGTTGTTTTGTTTTGTTATGTATTATATCAGTAACCCTGCATTAGTTTATGAGGAGTGTTCATAAACTGGCGGGGGGGAGTTATGGTTACATGTAAGTTGATATATTATTTAATCCTATTCAACAGTTGTAAACAAACCGTAATGCTATATATATAGCATTACGGAGAGAATAAAGTCAGTCTTATTTGAGCAATCACGTGTTTTATTTCGGACCTTTTCTTTCTTTTTTTTATCTTTTCTTGTTCGAACTGACGTAAGTTATATATATATATATATATATATATATATATATGAAAAAATCAAGTGGGTGGAATTTTTTTCCTGAGGTAATCTTTTTGTTTGTTTTCAATTAGGAATGTTAATATAGAGGACAATAACCCTTAACCTTAATTCAATGAAATGATTCTAGATTCCAATGTTTACTTTCTATGGAATCAAAATGTTTATTCAGTATCATTAGTTCAGTGCCGTTTCTTGCAGCACAATTCTTAGTCCCCGGCTTTTAATTTTTTCAATATTAAATTTAAAAATGCCTCTTAGTGCTAAGGATGTTGGGCGTGATGTGCCACTTATTGATGATGGACGTTCCATGAGATATGCAGCTAATGCCATCCGAATTCCATATGAAACTTTACGAGACGCTGTCAGGCGTTTTCGGAAAACTGGTTCTTACAATAGAAGGCCCGGTTCTGGACGGCCTAGGGTAACAGAACCACGGGATGACTGGTTTTTTACTTTGAGAATTTTATGAAACCGGCACCTTACCGTTGGAGCGCCGCACATTGGTTGTTGTTCGTGGAGGGTCTATTCGCTATGTAGATGAGATTTTGGAACCTCATGTGTTGCCTATCCTCAACGAAATCGGTGATCGTTCTTTTCTAATGCACGCCCACATGTCGCCCCCATAGTGCAGACGTTGCTTCAACAGAGCGATATTGAGGTTTTAGCCTGGCCAGCACGTTCTCCAGATTTTAACCCCATTGAGCAATTATGAGATAACCTCGAAAGACTAATAAGAGCGCGTGCAACACTTCCTGATACACTGCAGAACCTTGAAAGGGTTCTTCGGGAGGAATGGGCTATCCTCCAGCAAAGATATACTAAGAGCCATTTTTAAACCTAATATTGAAAAAATTAAAAGCCGGAGACTAAGAAATGTGCTGCAAGAAACGGCACTGAACTAATGATACTGAATAAACATTTTGATTCCATAGAAAGTAATCATCGAAATCTAGAATCATTTCATATAATTAAGGATTAAGGGTTATTGTCCCCTATATTAACATTCCTAATTGAAAACAAACAAAAGTATTACCTATTTATTCATTAAAAACAATAGACCAATGCAAAGCAGAATTTTTTTTAGATAAAAACACGAAAAAATCAAGTGGGAGGAATTTTTTGCCTGTCAGTGTATATATATGTGTGGGTGTGTGGGGTGGGAGCTGGGGGAGCCGTACGTGCTAAGGCGCTTGCAATAGGTAATAAAAGTTAAGGAACGTTTAGCGTGGTTAGTACTTGGATGGATGACCGCCCGATTCGGGTGACCGTAGATCAGGGAAAGCCGAATCTCCCCTTGCCGCCCGAGTCTTCCCTCCACCCCGGGTATGTGAAACCCGTCAGCGTACTAGAGGCAACTCACATTGACCGGGCGTAGGACTGATGATCCTGACTGACTAAGACTAAGGTTCGGTCTGTTTCGAGAAAAGAAATATAGGCGCTCGTGCGCCTGCTGACTCCGAGCAGCCATAATCAATGGATCCAGACATATTTGTTACTGTCCTTGAACCCGAGTGAGCCAGTGGGAAGGAAATTGCCAGATTGGCCCTAAAGGGATCGACTATCGGATATTGGGTGACTCCCTCCAGGATATCTGAGCTCCCGCATGCTTTTATTGCTTTTGAGACATTAGCGAAAGTTGATGAAAACAAGAAAAAACAATTTGAATAAATAAAACATAATTGTGCACCGAGTGTAGTGAACTATGGTCCTCAAATTGCCGCAAGGTAACAAGCCGCAACAGAGTGTATCCACCACGCAATCATCATAAACTAAATTTTACCCGCTGTACCAAAGTTACCCACCCAGTCCCAAAGTTACTCCATCTTACTGTTTATCTTTTATTTTATTACCTACTTAATCGTTACCAATTAACTTAAAAGTCACCATTCTGTAAGCGCCTTCAAAGGCTCCAAAACTCATCAATAACTTTTGGATCTCATTCCTTTTAAAGCTAGATTTTTGCGAAAACATCAGAAACTTTTTTATTTTATTTGTTTAGTTCTGATTTGTTTAAAAAGTTTGGTGTAGCATATATATATCCGAATCCCTAATCATTTTTGAGTGAATCAGTGGAGTTTTATGATTGTTAACAAATTTTCAAAAGTTTCAGGTTAGGTAAAACTTTCGTGAAAAAACATTTTTCGTTCAAGATAAACGTCCTTTGAGATGCTAGAAATTAATATTAACAATGTTTCTCACTACAAAATGTTTTATGATATGAAGAAATGAATAAGATCTTGTTAAAATACAACATTTCTTTAATTGAAGTACCAAATATTATTTGTAGATTCCGCGCCGTAGACATTGTAATATGTATAGGCTGTGGCTTCACATTCAAGGCCGAAAAATGTAGTAAACCAGCACTCAGTCTCGCAGCAGAGGCACCTGTTAATATTGGCACTAGTGAGGATGACATCCTGGCCACCGGCGATTGGCTGTCCCATGGTCTCCTTCCTCTTGCTTGGATCTCCGTTGTATGCCCTCCACACATTCGCCCAACATTTCTTCGAGTGAAGAAACACTTCGGGATGCCGAGAGTTGTTGCCAGTCGGAACAATCCGGATCGGATTCACGGATACGTAATATGGCTGTGAATCAGGAGTGCCTATGTAGCGGAGCATAAAGTCTTGGCCAAACTTGAGTCTGTTGTCGGACTTTACCCCAATGGTTTCTTGTTCATTCCATGGGAGCAGTTGGAAGACGTTGCGAACACAAGGAGCGATGAGTGGGGAAGCGGAGAGAACAGTGCCCTGTATGATCGGCTGGCACATCTCAGCTGTGGCATAGCCAGTGAGGACACAGGATAGTGAGAGACCTTCTTGCTTTCCTCGTTCCCTGAAGGTCTTTGCATGGCGGGCTATCAGCTGAACTTTCTCTCCAAACCTTACGGCCTTCTTGGGAGCCATAGAGATGGGTTGCAGGTTCTGGCCAATGATCTCACGGGTCTTCTGTATCATTAGTTGGCCTCTTTCCCTTAATCTCAGGAACCTGTTAAGATCTTCTTCGGCTACATCCCTCTGCTCTTGCCAATTTCCTACTTTTACCATTGGTGAGTATTTGTTTACTCTTCCAGTATCTGACCATTGTCCTTTCTTTTCGCCAAGCGTGTAAATGGTTTTGTCGTCTTTCATATGTTTGGCTGAAGCATAGTAACATTAATAGGTATATACACATATTTGCTAAGTACATATTATACATATTTTTATTAGGATTAGATTTATAATTTGACTATACATTTACCTAATAATAATAATTAAAAATATATATTTTACAATTGTAGAATATTTAAAGCTTTTATCCCTTGATGACTAAATTAGGGTGTTTGTTTTCCTGTATTATTAATAAAATACCTATCATATAAATATTAAATCAATAACTAATGAAATAAACAACTTTCAATTCATAATTATTAAATTTAAGTTTAAATCATACAAATTTAAGATAATACCTATGGGTTTTGACGAAAACAAGTATTCGCCTGAAGAATAAATATCTATTAAATTGGAGATTACTGAGAATTACCTATATTCCTTATTACTATTATTATTATTTCTTTTGTAATATACTTTTCGGCATGGTCATTATTAATTATCATATGAGAAGGAATTAGTCGAGGGTGCGGACAAAAATAAAAATAAAAAATTAAAATATATAAATAATTTTAATTTTTGCCGACGTTTCGACCCACTTTGCAGGTCGTCTTCAGGGCGTTGGATGTGGCACTGCGGGAGGCGGTTGAAACTCAACCGCCTCCCACAGTGCCACATCCAACGCCCTGAAGACGACCTGCAAAGTGGGTCGAAACGTCGGCAAAAATTAAAATTATTTATATATTTTAATTTTTTTTTTTATTTTTAACCGCACCCTCGACTAATTCCTTCTCATATCATATCAACGGTCAACCAACTCTACGTCATTATTAATTATCATAGATTAATATATATATATATATATATATATATATATATATATATATATATATATATATATATATTAATTATCATAGATTAATATATATATATATATATATATATATATATATATATATAGAAATGGGAACAATTGGACGAAACCAGAACTCCATACATCGTATCGTAGTCTATCAAATGACTTCCAGAAGGAAGTTGTTTTTGTTTTCCAATGACATGATTTGCTTTAAATTATTTAGAATTTATATGTAAATATCCTAATAACAGTGTTAGAACAAATAACAAATCTCTACAGAACAGTTCAAATAAGAGACTTTGAGGACAGACAGACATTTTGTCAACCTTCTTTCTAGGTAAAACACCTTATGAGATGTAAAGGAGGTGTAAGGCTGCCTTACACAACAGTATAGAATAAATCTTTTAGAATGCTGAGGGTAGTTTTTTCTTCGTACCACTTCCTGACAACTTCATTTTTTTTTTCTACAATGCAGTTTTAACTTGTTTAATTGTTGATCGTTACTGCAACGGTTGTATATGTGGCACATGTATATTTTGTCATAATATTCATAAAAATATATATATATATATATATATATATATAAATAAAGAAAAATTATTAAGAAAACTTAACCTCTAAACGTTAATCACATTTTGGAGGTTATGTGCGATCTAAGATGGTCTCTCAATCCACGGCTGATGTAACATAATAAATAATTACCTACCACAGCCTCAACTTGGAACCTGAAGTTTATGAAGATAGATAGTAGCATCCACAAGAAAAACATATTTATTCGAACCAAGAATAAGGAATCTCAGACCTTCGGAAACCTTAATAATAACGCTTAAATAAAATCTAAAACCAGAAAAATTGCAGATTATGGCTTATTTTGATACGTTATTTTCAAGTTACAGTTTGTTCTTTAATTTAAAAATTATATAAATTATTATAAATCTTTTTAATAATACATTACCTATCAAAGATATGAAAAAAAGAGATATTCTACACCGTACACATTCTTTTAAGCTGAAGAACAGATAAACCAAAATCTAAAATGAAGTTGACAAATAATTCACTTATGATGACTAGTCTTCTAATTCGTAATTTCTCACCTAGTCTTTGAATATTAAGATGCATTCGTTTTTCAGTCTCAAGTATATGGGCATTATCCTTAGCCCACTTCTTGTAGTCCCAGGTTCCTTTGAACATCGGGGCCTTCCCATTATCGTGCAACATGACTTGGAGATATTTGCCCATCCGTTGAGGACTAATATCGCGAATATGATAAATCGAAGGCATTTTGGAATTTTAATTACTGTTTACTGTTTGAATCTGTCCGAATATCCTCCGTCAATTCTCCCTAAAACTTATTAATCATGTGTTAGCGCTATGAATCGGAAATTATATTATTTTTAGAATAACGTTTACAGATGTAAAAATTGATAGATCAGAATGTTATTGTTGTAGCATTTTTAAATTGTTTTCTAGATACATGATACGTTTTGGATATTATTATTTAATTGTATTAGTCAATTAATTCTACTACCGCAAATGCTGGAAAGCAAATTTGTTTTAGTTTACCAAAGAAAATGTAACATTACATATTTCGAATTTTTTGGGGGATTTTATGATAAGCCTGAAGTTGTATAAGCGAGTAAAATGTGAATATGAGTTCGTGATGATGTCACAGCTTACAACACACTGCGGTGAAAAGTGATCGAATGGACCATGTGTGTTGTTATTTCTCAAATACATCATTGCCTATAGACATCTTTCGTAAAGTTGACGAAAATCCCTTGAATAAACATATCACAATTCTCTTTTTCAAATAAGCATCTTATGTGATTTGCATTATTAAAACAACCCAACATTGTAGTAGATCTGACGGAATTATATTTTTTTTATTTTTAATAGTTCTTCGTATTGTTGTTTGACAAGTGGTCGAACTATATGTAGCAGGATATAACCTATTCCTTTCCCTTGGTTGATTTACGTACATTAGTTTGTTAAGGGGATATCCTTTATTAGTTTATGTTTAAAGTCATATAAAATATGAATTTGTCGATTTAATTCTGGTAAGTGTTGATCAATGTCATGTAAAAAAAAATAAAACAAATGTTGGAATGAAAACAAAGATTAAATTAGATTTTACGTGGCTATATTATTGAAAGATTAAAAATCAAGGCATATAAATAAATAAATAACCTGGCTATTTTTTGCTTCTGAAAAATAGATTTGAATTTAAAGAAGAGATGGGACTGCTGTACAAACTCCGAAAATTCCTACCATCTACCTGCTTCCTCATTATCCGTTCCTACCTTACTGATAGATACTTTAAAGTAAATCACAACAATGTCTATACATCCCGTTTTTCCCAGTCTGCAGGTGTTCCTCAAGGTAGTATCCTAGGTCCTATCCTTTACACAGTTTATACAGCTGACATCCCAAACCATCCCAACACTGTCATCACCACATATGCTGATGACACATGTATCCTAACAGTTAATAACGACCCATCTATTGCACCCCAAACCCTTCATTCCCACATCACAAACCTTGAAGAATGGTGTCAGAACTGGAGAATTAAAATAAATTCCAATAAATCCCATCGAATTACCTTCACCCTTCGTGGTAAACCAATGACTTCCTGTCCTTCAGTATCCTTTAACAACACCTCACTTATTCCTGTTGAACAAATCCGTTACCTAGGACTCCATCTTGACAAACATCTAACTTGGAATCCTCATACCAGACTGAAACGACAAGAAACAGCTCGACGTTTCCGACTACTTCAACACTTACTAGACAAACGCTCTAACCTTCCAATCAATTATAAAAGACTGATTTACATGACTATAATAAGGCCTATTTGGACTTACGGAGTTGAGCTATGGGGCTCCACCAAACCTTCAAATTCCTCTCGCATACAATCCTTACAATCCAAAATCCTTCGTAAATCCTCAATGCTCCTTACTTTGTTACAAATAAAATTATCCATAATGACCTTAATGTTCCTTATGTATCAGATTTGGCCCAATCCAGATATCTGTCCTTCCATAATAAACTTCATAACCATCCCAACCCTCTTGTCTCTAACCTTGCTTCCTATTCGATTCCTGATAACCCTCCGAGGCGTCTGAAAAGAAGATGGCCACGTGATCTTCTAATATAGACATATTATTAGAGCGCTAACAATGGGTAGTTTCTCAACATGTGTTCCATGTCTTTATACCAATGTGCGAATTTACCAGATGTATTTTTTGTATACAGTTGTAAATATCATATAAATAAAAAAAAAAAAAGAAGAGATAAAGGTATCTATATGTTCGAGAGAAGTACCTATGTAGAGATAGAAGTATCCATATGTTTAAATGAATTACTTAGGTAGAAAGAGAAGTTCCTGTAGAGAGATCAAAGTAGAGAGAATCACTTTACTATCATAAAACGGTGCTGCCCAATTACATTGGGTTGCTAAAAACACAGCATACTTAATAATCACTACAGACATTTTTAAAATAATATATAATTATATAGGATTTTTTTCCTTTTCGCCTCTCTAAAATGGCGCCCAGTGATAGAAAGGCTATTTTTTTATTTTATTAAAAAAATATATCTTCTTTTCGTCACTCAAAAATAGGTTAGTTGCCTAAGTTATTTCACTTATTCGATCAGTAAAATATTGTTTTTTAACGTTGTATGAGCCTTTTTAATACGACCATGGAATAACGTTTGAGAATAATATAAATATATATATTAGTATAGTATAATATATTTTTCTTAGATATAATTAGATGATAAAAATATATATAAATAATACAAAAATTTAGTCGAATTTAAAATTTCATGTTAAAAAAGAGAGAAAATTGTTTGCTGTACCTGTTCAGATTATCGTGATATCATTCGTAGTAGGTCCATATATATATATATATATATATATATATATATATATATATATATATTATATATATATATATATATATATATATATATATATATATATATATATATATACATTTATTGACCGCATCTCCCGACCACCTCATCAAAATAGAATTACTATCAGCCATCCGTCATTTTATCCAATTTTTAGCCAAATCGAACAAGCCATTTCTGAAATATTGGCATATCTACAAAAAATGCGTTTTTGCGTGCGTAAGCGGAAGTGCTGGTTAGATATTTAATGAAATTGATATTTGACCATCTACGTACCAATCCGCATAATCCCTGAAAATCTCATGAAAATTGTCTCAGACAGACAACGAACCAAATTTGATCCTTGATGTCTGAAACGTAAAACGCGAGTGAAAAATTTTCGAGCACAACATTTTTTTTAACCTCTCGCACGAATACAATGCTTCCCTACCTTCGGTAGCGAGGAAGCAATATTATAACCTTTTCTTCTAATCCGTTTTAAATATTATAATTAATGAGGAATACACTAGCAACAGTCTTCAAAGTACACATATACTGATTTTATTAATCGGTTTGCTATAATTAAACAGTGGTTATTATAAAACATTACAAAATATAAATACGTGAAAAAACTAACCATCCGAAGGTACACCTTAGATATAATTAACGTAATAGCTTTCAGTCGTTAATGTATTGATTTTCAATTTTAAGGAATAAGTTAGGTGTATTGAGTTATCTGAGTTCAAGCAGGACTAATGGCCTTGGCTCATGAATAAATTCAGGAATAAACAACTTTTTAACTTATTGTATCGCAACTTTCACCGGTGCTATAACCTTTCCATCGATAGAAAGAGATATAGCTTACAACTTCTGGAATAGCCAAGTAGTAAGCCATTTTATATCTAATGTTTTATATCGAAAGTATTATTAAATTGAAACAATGCAGAAAAAAAGAGAAATTTTGAGATCTTAAAACTAGTAATAAAAAAAAAGTATAGAAGAGGCCAAAAAAGAAAATAATAATAGTAATACACTACATAAAAACTTTTAAAAGCGCAAATCAATTTTATTTAAATTTATCGCAGTAATTCAAACTCATAAACAACAAGGATTCATGTATTCATGAAATGAATTTTTAAATATTAACAGAAAAAAGAAGTAATATGTTTTTTACTATCAATTCTATAATTATGTATATGCTTCACCTACTCACTGTATTGTTTCTTTATTCTACAATATTGTATATATTCATTTAGTTATAGTTGTTATATTTTATATAGTTATACAATTTAATTTACACCATCATGTTTGTTCACGTAATACAAATTTTCTTACACGGGCTCCCTTTCAATTTGTTTTTTTTGTTTTATATCACGATCTGTCACAATCAAGGACATTTATAGTAGTGTTCAGAGAGCACATTCACACTCTATGTACAATAAATAAAAATAAATAATGAAGAAAAACAACAACAAAAGAAGTAACTCTATACAAACAAAAGAACTAAACAAATCAATATAACAACTTAAACACCAGCATACTTTCAACAATGACTATGAAATCTAGAATACTGGTGCTGATGTATGAATTAGTTTAGTGTCCTAGTTGTCCTTTTTACCAATCTCTTTGGGAATCTGGTAAAATATGGGAATCGAAATTGGAGTATGCCCAAATTTCGAGGAGCCAACCCTCGGATGGATAGCAATGGATGGTGGGATATTCACATAATACTTCGCTTAAACATAATCAAGTACGGTTGTATCTATAGTTATAGTCACAGTAAAAATGTATTTTAGTTACGTAGCATATAGTTCGTTACGTTTTGAAAATGCCATTTATTAGATCTAGTTGTTTGAAATTAAATTCGTACTGTTCATTAAACAGTTTTAGTTTGATTATGGGACGAGTCCCTAGTGGAACGAAACGTTATAATATCACCTGTTATTAGATTTCAAAGTAGTGGAGAGCAGCACTAACTATATTGTGTACCTTTCCCTTCTATTAGCGGGTCCTCTAGGCTAATAAAATTTCCTTCAAGTTTGAAATTTAGGAATAGGAAAACTTTTAGGAGCCAAGGTCACTCGTGCCATGTTTTTAATTTAAATCCGATAGACTAATTGCTCTTTTTATGCCTAATGGCGTCATTGTTTCTAAATACAACAGGAATAATGTTATTATAACTTTTAGGTTACGATTGTAATTCATTTCACTCTGGTTATGAGATATGTCAAGTATCACTATGTATTTCAAAATTCAAACTTTTTCAATTTTTAGAAAATGTATTCATCAACTACTGCATACTATTCATTGGAAACATTAATATAATTTTCTATGATCATTATCCGCTTGATACACATATTGTAATATAGAGACCTATTGTCTGGTTTCTTTATTTTTGTTATTAACATTAATTTTTGATCTGATAAGACTGAATAGTACTTATTCCTTTTTTTATTCATAAATATAAGCCTATAGTCATAAAATGTATTGGTTATAAGTAATGTAATTAATGTTCGGTTCAAAAATATAATTTAGGTATATTATATAGATATACTTATTAAATATATATATATATATATATATATATATATATATTATATATATATATATATATATATATATATACAATTTTTATATATATATAATTTTCATTGTTAACTACTATCTTATTATATATCTAAGTATATATCTAATTTATATTTATCTACATATATATATATATATATATATATATATATATATATATATATATATATATATATATATATGTAGATAAATATAAATTAGATATATACTTAGATATATAATAAGATAATAGTTAACAATGAAAATTATAGAGGATCAGAAAAAAAAAATAATACACAATCTTCTAAGGTCGTTTCAGATCTTATATATGTAGCAATAAAATTATAAAACCCTTATAATGTTAATTGCATTAGGATGACCTTGAAGAAATTTCAGCAAGAATTTTCTGCTGTCTGGCTTCTAAGTCTGGTCATTACTTTAGAGGAAAAATATTAATTGTAATCATTAGGTTTGTGTTTTTAAGTAAATAGATGTCTACTGAAAAGAAATTCTGAAAGAGATAGCGGTTAGTAATAAATCTACAATATTGTAAAATTCATGACTTTTTATTTATTTCAATCAATATTTTTGTTACGGCGGATAAAAGAAATGAAAAAACACCCGTTCAAAGGAAATCGTCTTTGTAGTAGAGATCGAGGCAGGGAATGTAGAGACACTCAGGTAACTGGACACCTCTCATTGCTGGCCGAAGATCCTCTATGCCGTTCTGGGTTAGAGTCCTGTCCATGTCCACATTTCTACCCTCGAATTTCCAAACGTAGGAGTTGTAAGCGGAGTTGTACACTTTGTAACGAGCCGCTATACCTCCACCAATAAGGTCTTCTTCGCAAACCTTAAAGTGAGGAAAACAATTTACTTCTAATCATTACTAAAAAAAGTTACTAGAGAGCTTGTATCTTACAGGCTGTTTGTTATATTTATGTTTGCTAAACATAAAAATAACAAACAAAGCTGAACTGATCCGTCAAAGAAATATCCTTGAAAAATTCTGGATCCGAATATGGGTTTGTATGAATTTTTGAAATTAGTATTTCTACCTACGCCGTTCAATCATGCTCATTCACCAATTCACTGCAGAGAAGTACATCCAAGGCATGGAAAACATTTCTCTAAGGGATAGAATATATATACACAAGAAGAATGGATTGGTTGCGACATAGTTGTACTTCCCCCTCCCTCCCCCCCCCCAAGGTCCCCTAGCGAAAATGTTTATTACTCTTCTCTTCTTAAAACCAGTGTAAGTGAAAGTCGTGTTGCTACACTGAAAGACGAAAGGCGAAAGTGAATCTAAGAAAAACCGTAGATATATACAATAATACCTGGTGTGATCTGGTCCATAGTTTTCCCTTAGTTCCCTGGGTTGAATGAAACTATAAAGTCACAATCACGTCTAAATGTGGTCTCCTCAAAAATTCAAAACACTGTCAACATTTTTATTGTTCAATTTGTGCCATGAAGTCCCTTTCTGGATATCCCTGGGCAGAGATGGACAAATGCTATTTTGAGTGCCGAATACCAAGTATTTGACACAAATTGAACCACTATTGGGAATTCAATCACTACTTCAGTTAATCCTTTAACGTCAACCGAAGTAGTAATTGAATTCTTTGGTACTCAAAAAAGGGCAGTATTTGAATAAAATACAATGTACTCAATACGCACTGTAGCACTTGCCCATATCTTCCTCGGGATTGCGATCAAGCTACCTTATGTGAAAAACCAAGGTAGACAGTAAAACCTGGGAATTCCTGGGAACCTGGGAATATGTAGGATATAAAGACATAGAGTCCGAATGCAATATGGTTGGTGGGAATCATGAAAATATAGCATTATGAGACGTGATTGATTAGGAGACTTTTGGGTGTGATATTCGAGGAGAACCTCTATATATCGTGGAGATATCTCTTGGGATTCGTTCACTAAAACCTTGCCCACACTATTTCTAAGGTTGCCCAGTTTCTTTTAGCCATTTGCTATAGTAACTAGGTAGTAGAAATGGAGTATATCGTTCAGGAAGAGCCAGAGCATATCCTTAATCTGAACTATGGCTTACTCACCGTAAAGCTAGCCTCCATCTTCGTAAGCATGTTGCGGACCCTGATTGGCCTCTCGTTTGCAGTCAGCCGTCCGACGAAGAGACGCTTGTCCTTCCACCAGGGTACGACTGGGGTTGGAAACCAGAAGGGGCTCGGTAAGTAGTTCTCGCAGAGTTGGGGTATAGGACCGTGAGGTAAGTAAGGAACTTGCTCCATCGTGATCGGGTGGACGAACGTGACCAGCTGTAACATAACAGCCCAATATTTTTGTAAGGCCACCTTTTTTCTCAATTTTCATGATTAAATTATCTTACGCTTCAAGTGGAAAGAAAATGGGTACTTATGAATTTTTTAATTATTAATTTAATGAGAAAACGCCCCATTTCTGAGAATTTTCCTAGAAGAAAAAATGTGGGTTACGATAAGATGACGTTCCGTAAGTTTTTCATATATAAAAAAATGTAGGTTACGGTAAGATTACGACATTCTGTAAGTTTTTAAGAGATGTTAATAATTTTATAATTATTCGATTCGACAATAATAATAATTCAATAACTTATTCTTTTAATTTTAATTGTTTTGTCAATTTTTTTTTCTTTTAATCTTAATCTTTTAACTTAATTATTTTTCTTAAATTCTTTTCTTGTTATTTCTAATATTTAATTTTAAATTTTATTCATTAAATTTATATCTTATAATTTTAGAAATTTGTGTTTTAAATTATACATGTTAAATTTTATTCTTGTAATCTTTAACTTTTAATTTTACAAGTTCTGTTAATTTTTCTAGATTTAATCTTTAATTTGTAACATTAATTACACATGTACTTCTAACTATTCTAATTTTGATTTAATTGTGCTAATATATTAAACTGTAACTATTTATTAGCATTCTAAATTCAGTGTAAACTATTGTAAAGTTGTATTTGTTATTTGTAGTTTCGCTAATCGAATATTACTAGTAGTCGATTTAATAGTTGTAATGTAAAGCAAAAATGAGCCAGTTGATTGTAAAGCCCGAAACATTTTGTAAATAAATAATATAAAATAAATAATTTAATAAAAAGGGGTCTGAATAGGCGACTATTATGTTTTATTGTAAGGAGAATTAAGTCGTACAGAAAAATGTAGTTCTTAAATATTATTCATTCGATTATGTTTTATAACTATATGTTCCATTTTTCTATATTACATTTACTGTATTTAATTATCTTATTTAATATATATTATATTTAATACTTACTATTATAATGTTAACTCATGAAATTTTGAGTTTACAGGAATAGAATTATTGCACTGTAATGTCGTAATGTCGATGAAGGAGGATCATCCTTGGGTGACCTATGATTTTATATCCAAATTTGAAAAAAAATGGTCGAGTAGTTTCGGAGAAAATGCACGGACGGCGTACGGCGGACGGACTAAAATTTTTTTATTCAATTTTTAGATTCTAAGCATTCTGGAACGTAAAACCTCAAATTTTGAGAGGGGCTTAAGTTTTTCAATTTTTTGGTCAATCACAATGGTTGATTATTGAAAATAATAAACCAAAAATTAAATTAGACTAACCAATATATTTACACAAAACTAATGCTAAATTGTCGCATAAACACATGTCTTGCCTTCAAATATTAATCTACAAATCTTAGCTCGCTTGATTTGTAAAATATCATATTCCTAGATTATTGGTACGTAAACAACAAAACCTTACATCCCGACTTACGAAAACCAACTATCGACCAACACGATTTCATATTTAACTACACAGAAAAAAAAAATACGATAGCCCTATAATATTAAAAAAAATAATAATAAAAGCGTATCTGTAAAATTTATTTAGGTCTACATCATTGCTGACTCAAGTAATCTGTTGAGCTGGCAGCACTTGTGTTCCCCCACTTTGACTATGGCTGCCTGGTGAACGGCGGACTCTCTTGAGAATTCGAGGCCAAACTTAAACGCCTTACGAACTGCGCAATACGTTTTGTTTTTGGAATCTCAAGAGAAACGCATAACCCAGTATTACACCAAGTTGAAATGGCTCTATCCATCTAACCGCCATCTGTACTTCCTTACTATTTTATTCTTTTATTTACATTCCACCCTACCTTGCCTGATGGGCCATACGGGCGTTTGCAATAGTGGGCTGTTATTCATGACTGCATAACAGCATACTACTGCAAGTGAAACAGTTTAAAATATGTTATCTTTGGTGAAGTCATATCAAGGGTGTCCGTCTTCCGGCGGTCTTCTTGGTGGTGGTCCTCTTCTCCGTGCTCCGATGTTGAAGTGGACTGGACCCACTGCCTCCTTCCAGTCATAAATGAATTTCTTGAACCGAGAGAAGTTCTCCTTACTTACCAACTGAGGAAGTTCATCCTCTGTTAGGAAGTAAATTTCTGCGGTTCTCATCATCGTTGCCCTTATTCCTTCAAATGCAGTGCTGGCCGTGACCACGTGCTCGACAGTCTCCAGAACTCCACAAGTGAGGCATTGGGGATCTATGTCCTGGCCAAAGCCATGTAGCTTAGATCGAAAACCCCCATGCCCCGTGAGGAACTGTGAAATCCAATAGTCCGGGAGGATCCATTGTGCATCTAACCGCGACTGTACGGTGGGGAAGTATTTTCTGAGAGTACTCCCTTTCGGAATAGCAACCCACCGACGGCTCCATTCCTCAATCGTATCCTCCCGGATTATCTTCTTCCATTTGCTGGGACTTTCCACAATCCTCACCCGGAGATTTTCTGGAACTCCAGCCAAGCCTTCTTTTTTGAATTTATGCTTGGTCACATTTTCTCGCAGGAGGAGGTCGAGAGGTACCGCCCCCGCTAGGACCTGCACTGCTTCATGTGACGTTGTCCTAAATGCACTGGTGACTCGCAACAGGGCCCTCCTCTGGCCCCAACCTTTTTCGCTGTCGCTGTGTGAGGTTCCTATACCAGGAGGGAGATGCATACCTCAAGATACCCAGCACAACGCCTTAGATCGTCATCGTTGCGGGGTATCTGAGGCCACAGAATGCACCGCCAACACGACTGAGCCCGTTCAAGGCTTGGGTCACCTTAGTTGCTAGATAATCCAAGTGAGGTGTTATATTTAGGCCTTTTCCTAATCTTACACCAAGATATGTTACCACCTCACTTGGGCGTGTTATTTGACCTTCTATATCCATGCTAATGGGGTGTGCTCTATCAGTCGTGCCTTTCAAGAGGATGGCTTGCGTCTTTTCAGCTGCCATACGCATTTTCTTTCCCTCACACCATCTGGCTACAAGGTTGGCACATCGCTCTGCTGCTAGTTTGATCCTCGCCCTGCTGTTGGATGTCACCACAGCAGCTAGATCGTCAACATAGGCAGTGGCAGAGAACCGCTCATTTTCAAGCACTCCCAGCAACTCATCAAAAACCAGCTTCCATAGAGCAGGACCAAGTACTGATCCCTGAGGGCATCCCCTCTCTACGTAATAGCTGCCTTTGTTCTTCACTCCCCTGTCCTGAAGATAGCTCCTTACGAGGGCATATAGGTTGCTGGGAGCGTCATATTTTTGCAGCTGCTGGAGTACGCAGGGCCACCATAAACTATCAAAGGCGGAGGATATATCAAGAAGGAGCAGCATGACGTATCGCTCCGCCCTTTCTTCAACATCTCTGCGAACTCTCAGCAGAGCATCAGCGGTTCCTCTGCCTCTGGTAGAGCCGTATTGCCGTGGATGGCTTGCTTGATTGAGAACTGGCCGTAACCTGGTCATCATGAGGTTCTCCAGGACCTTACTCATCACAGGGAGGAGACAAATTGGTCTATATGACTTAGGAAGTTGTTTATCCCTGCCTCCTCCCTTGTAGAGGAGTCTCAAATCAGCGATCTTCCATTTCCTTGGGAAGTATCCCCTATCTAAACAATCATTAAAGATTCCTAAAAGTCGCTCTTCAATATAGGAGATACTGTTCTTTAGGATCGCTGCATCTATAGCATCAAGTCCTGGAGCGCGGCCATTCTTTTGCCTACCCACGGCAATACGAATATCATCTGCGTCCCATGGTGAGCAAAAGTCAGTGCCTGGCGGGTATACCGTGGTATGTCTCACAAAATGTTCCTCTTGGGTGTCTTGAGATGGGTCGTCCTTGGGGTAAGTCGCTTTGACGAAGAAATTAGCGGTCTCTTCTAAGGTAGTAGCATGGACATCTTCATGCCTCATCGCCGCTATCGTTTGCAGCGGAGTCAACTTGCCCAGAGCCACCTTATACGGAATACCCCAAGGATTCTTTGAAGATTCTTCGACGATAAAATCGTCCCAAGACTTCCGCTTTCGTGAACGAACCTCATTTCGGTATACCCTGGCCATGGACTTATACTCGTTACGAAGTGCAGTGCGCCTCTCGTCGCATCTGCACCTCTGGTACGACCGCCGTGCCTTGTAGAGGTCTCTCTTCATAGCTGTTAAGGCCGGCGTCCACCACGGGACAGGTCGAGCCCTCGTCTTCCGGTGCTGGAGGGAGTTCTCGGCAGCATCACGGATGGCATCAGTAATCCTTGACACCCTGTAGTCTAGGTCATCGGTGTTTTCTGAATCCTCAACTTCCCACTCTTCGTCGACCATTTCACCCTCCATCATGCACCGAAAGACATTCCATTCACTTCTTCTGGTCAAATAGCCCTTCACGTTGCCATAGGAACATCCTGGATCATCTACCAGGCCAAATGCAATCGCATTGTGGTCCGAACTCGTCTCTGATCTGAGTGTCCAATCGAAGATGTATCTAGATAGCGTTGGTGAAGCTAGAGTGATATCTATCCAGCTCTGCCCTCTACCTCCAGAGAAGGTAGGTGTAGCAGATGGATCATTTATCACCACCAATTGGTTTCTAGCAATAAATTCACCCAGCTTGACGCCTCTTCTGTCTGTTCGATTGGACCCCCAGACCGTGTTCCAGGAGTTGGCATCTGAGCAGACGATCACGTTTCTTGTACCTTGTAAGATCGTTTCCATGGCGGATATATCCTCTTCAACATCTCTTCTATCGTGCATGTAGGCAGATATCAGTGTAAAAGCAATCCTGCCCCATCTTATGTAACATACAGCACGGTCCGCCATGGTATACTGCCTCAGTTCCATCACGTCAAGGTTGGGGTTATTGATAACTATAGCAGCCCTGGGCCTCCCCTCTCCACTGCTCAAGGCTATAACCCTTGACGTGAGGCCAAACCCCGTGACCATGTTCCTATAGCAACCTGGTTCTTGAA